CTACCAGTCAGCCTAACAAGACGTAGATGCGATGGGTTAATACCATTGACTGAGTAGAATACAGTCTGCAAATCTTGCCAACCACTAGGCCACTGCTTATACCCTCAGTTAACAAACGTCTGCCTCTTGTATATAACATTGGTACATCAGGAGCAGTGCGCTGCTCGGGTTTTGGGAGGTGAACGGATTACAAAGTCCACAATTAAACTCCATCCTGAAATCTTTTCGACTCAGCTTGCCTTCAGTCACTGAGCACAGACATGGGTGCTGTTTTAGACAACTCGTCAACCCAAAAATAAGTGTCAGACACAAGTACTGCTTCACCATTTCCATTCAGATTAGTGCGCTGTGCACAGAAAAGACATACTGAACAGTAATCTCAAAGAAAGCCGGACGAATTTGCAAGGAATCGCTGCCCAGTGGGTTTGATCAAGCGGTAATTACAAAGAAAAAAGGAAAAATATTATGCCCATCGTTGGAGGAATCGAAGGATATTTGAAAGGACTATACCACTTCTCAGCTTAATTCAACACTGTTCCAATTTGATTCGCCACCGCCCCATTTAATTTTTCCACATGAGTCAGCTGATTTCAATGCACTGGGTCTGTGTGCTTCGAGGGCGGCGCTGATCTTGATATCGGGATTGTTCAACTCAGGGACAGGAAATCAGTGGGGGTTGCGTATATGATGTGGTGACTTAATTAGCACCGCGACCGCGACTGGAAACCACATAGGCTTCATTTCTTGCCTACCGTCGGCTGCTCGAAGAGCACAGATAGCTTTGGAACACTGTGAAGCACGGAGTTTGTTGGCTAATCTTCCTTCAATTTGGGCTTGACGGACGTGAGACGCGGCACGGTCACTAGACAGGGGTATGGTGGTGACTCATGCTGTTTCTGCACTCATCTTTCTACGGCATTGCAAAGTGGCTGCGGTACGGTCTCGAGCTCAGACACGCGGGCCTTGGTGACAAGCCAACGTCCAGATTCTGAACTACCGCGCCGAGCAGCTGACGTCTTGGAGAAATGTAGTACTTATTACCCGAAGCCCACGGGTAGGAACGTGGCATGAGTTGGTGTGGCTGCTCCACTAGAGTAAGTTGAAACGAAAAATATGGCCGCGGAAATTCGTTTGCTCCTATTCACGTGTGAGGGGATTTGGTTGTTGTGTACGGTCAATTCTACATCAACGATGAACCTCTTATCCATGTAGAAACGGTTCTGCTGCAAGGCAGGTGAAACGAAATTGGTGTCACGCGGACCTTATTCACACCTTTCCGCTGGACTCGTATGCGTAGTTACATGCACACTGTTAAGCACGAATAGGTGTTTGAATTTCTCGGCTCATAAACGCTGGTTCAGCCTACCAGTCAATAGAATGTAGTAGGCGGCACCAAGCAGGCCTTGAGATCAAAGACGAGAGAGTGGGTCAGTGGACCGATGAATAATCCCACCAGGATGCAATCAATGTGTTTACAAACTACTCACGATACCCTTACAGTGACTACTCGTCTGCCTTGAAGCTATTCACCATCAATGACATACAACGGTGTGACTAAGAACGGTGGAATAGAATACGGAAGGAGCTCGAAGCTAGCCTGCCACAAACAATCGAGTTCTACGTTGGTTTGCATATCAACATTCAGGGTGCATGTGGTACATGAGTAAAGCCAGATGGGTTGGTAATTATCATAATATGCGTTTGCATCTGTTCCAATTTTGGCTGACACTGAACAGCAGTGGAGTGAGTGCGGTCGCATCCTCAATGCGAGGTGGATGGCTGCAACGACGCTTGATGTGAAAATAATTTGTACATAGATCAATAAATCGACACTTCGACTATTGCCAAATGAATGACGCATATGAAAAAAAAACAACCAGGATTTGTGACCACAAAATTTGCCGGCAAAATTCATTCCTACAGAATTCATAATGAACGGATGGAAATGTGAATTAAGAAAAAGCGATGCTTGCTCAGGCTAGTTTGTATACCTGGCTACTTGAATGATCGATCAAAGGAGATCAAGATCGAAGCGGTATTGTCCAGACTGTGCTGTCTTCTCCTTTACTTAATGACGATCCACATCACCCAACTCTCCCCAATTAGAACTCCTAATAAGCAACCAAATTAGATGAACGAACGTTCTTGCACTAAATAAGGCTCTCTTGAAATGTCAGCAAATAGCATTCGTCGTTTTACTGAATACAATGTTGAACTTCTATTCTTATCCAAGTGGTGACTACCAAACTGTGAATGCCCTTTTTCCATTCTATGGGCAGTTGATGGCCCTGAAGTTTGACTGGACTATACTGAAAACGAGTCTGATGCAGCTTCTCAGTGAGAAAACATGAACAGTGACGGTGCAAACGCCGGCTCCCAAAGTTGTGAGGCAGCCGATTGTCACAAATAGAACCTTTTCGTAATGGACTGACGGGTACAGCCATACGGTCCTATTCAAGATGGTTAATACAGGAAAATTTATTAGATAAACGGAGATCCGCGTTCTCAAAGCACGCATACGGGGATTCAATAGACCAATCAAAACTTTTCACACTATGTCACTGTGCTATTTGATGGATGGCACAAACTTGTAACCGTGTTGATTGACGACGTTCAACCCTGTAGCAAGCCGGACGTGACCCCTAGCTACTCGTGCAAAACATTAATACACAGAAGTCACTCGTCCTAAACGCGGACCTGACCTGCTTACACAGAGCACCCAAGTTCAGCTGTCCTCTTCAAGTAAGATTCACAAACAGTCAGTACGGCCGATGACCTAAATTGATTTGTACAATCCGATTAGTTAGTCACCTGAAGACACCGCAAATCACGAGACAGCGGAAGGGTGCTGTACTCTTACGCAAAGTTCAGTAGAGCCTTCAGCGCTGGAGGTTCATTGGATTCCCATTAACCATTACATTAATGTCTACACGACTGTCGTAGGAACAATTGTCATTACTGACCAAGATTTGTTACTCGAATCTTTAGTTACATAGCTTATTTCATTACTATTGAAACCTTGATGCCTCAACTTGGTTTGACTGATAGTTTAACTTGGACAACATCAGCACCTTGGCGCATACTGCTAGTAGTCGACCATGCCTAGGGTAAAAGCCTGGCCAATGAGAGTTTCTTAGATTTCAAGTGCTGATTAGACGGAACTGGACATTAAAGTGCACAGCGTAGACTGGAGCCTGCACAGTGCACATACCAAAAACACCTAATCTTGTGAAAGCTGCATTGATTAGACTTTAGCAACAATCAGTTTGGTCCGATCACTATTGAAAGGTTTATACTGCGTAAGTTGCCAGGCCTCCTGTACGGAACACGGTACTTTAACCATCACCCTACGTTACTCACAAGGGAGCAGGGCGTATAATAACGTTTCCTGGTTGGCTCACTGAGGAACAAAAACTGATGGTGAAACAGTCCAGGAGTCAAATTGGACGGTTTTAATTCATAAAACTCAATCGCAAATAATTACATTCAGCCGCTGACGCACAATGGGTAAATGTACAATGGGAAGCCGGTTGGAGTCCAAAGGGAGGTCTGTAAGAGCAATGAAACCCCTCATTACATATCTGGTGCAACGGAAGAATTTGACATCAGGAAATGTGGCAGTAATGATGAGGGATAGTAGAGTACAAAAGAATATCTAAACAACCACTGTTGCCACACAAGATCGGGAAGTGTGAGTTAAGAACTGATTGGATGAGAGGCGATGCGGAGATTGAACGAACGACGAGCGAAGAAAAGAAATGTAGACTAAACAACCGGGGATGGGTGAAGGAAATTTTTTTTACAAGACCGTGGGAAAACGGATGGGCAGATACTTCCCAACCAGAAAATTTTTTTTACAAGACCGTGGGAAAACGGATGGGCAGATACTAAGATTCCCAACCAGATGCGACAGAAATGCAAAAGCCGATAAGGGCAGAAAGGGGAGGAGCAAGGAGAAAGTGATTAATGGCAAGGAAAGTTAAACCTAAGCAGTCCAACGTAAACAACAGCAAAACGATCAATCTCCCATGTATAGGACAAGTATCGTTACAGAAACCATCTCCGAAAAGGAAGAAACAGAACAAGATTCATACACCTAATAAAAACAGGAGAGTAATAAGCATGATTGAAATTCTAGCGATAATTGACACAATCCCTAACGGTGATGGTGAGCAGCTCCTTATGTTTAGAGAAAAAAGACGAGGAACAAGGAGAATTGTAAAGCAGTCTACGTGAACGTGTTGGCAACGGATACAATGTGGTCACAAAAGATAAAGAGAGAAAGATAATAGATGCACGAAATCGCCGGGACAAGGAGAGACGTCAACAGTGGCTTGACGAATTCGGCAATGAGTTGCGGGATGGCGTTTTCCACACAGATGGAGCGGTGTAGAAAAAATGATGTGCACTACAACCAACGAACACTGAAAGATAGTCCACACGTCACATGATCTCACGACTGAGATTCGACCGTATGAAACGTAAAAACGATGGAGAGAGAATACACAGGGATAAACTCGAGGTCTTGGAAAGGAACAAAATAGCCAAAAATCAATCGACAGGCACTGGGGTTGTGATGATCACCGGATATTCGGCCATTGGCCCGTCGGGGAAAGAAGGGCCTACAAGACAGGACTTAATCTCACGGTTTGGATAGCTTAGTGGAATGCTATACACACACGGTTGGTGGCGGTCTGTCACTCGTGTGTACACTAAGGAAAAAGAGGTGACCAGTCACGAGGAGATCAAACGGTGATGCATGCTGCCTGTAGTGTCTGTGCGAGCAGTGAGGGACAATCTAGTGATGAAGAACCTGAGCATGAGAAGGAAGAATGCTCAAAAGACCGAGAGGAGGGAATGAGGATGGGGACAGTGACCAAAGGAGAGGATTAATGCGAGCAGAAACGGCCAGCAGGGTAGCTGGTGGGACGTCGACAATGTAACAGATAAGCAGAAGACTAATGATTGTCAGCAGCGAGAAAATTTGTCACAACGAAAACAGTCCTGTGAACAGATTCCGTATAGATACAAGGAAACGGGGTCTGCTTGTGAATACGATCTTATAAGGGCGATTTACATATCACTAGATTATACAAGAGACTTTCACGCTGCACGGCTTTATTGGATACCGAATGAAAGAGCCAGGGTTGAGGAGTAATTATCATGATCTAGTGAATCCAAGCCCTCTCCTACGAGGACGAAGTTTATGGTGAGTTCGGTCTCGATAATACGGAAGAGAGCAGACCTCGCAGAATGACGGTCACGTTGGTTAATCAATGCGCGAAGGAACCGGTGTGAGCAAGCAACTACTTTCGGAGATCCAACACGACCACCTAGAAGGGAGAAATAGGGAAAACACGCGGATAGAGGGTTTGTGATTCGGTGTAAAAGTGAAACAGCAAAACGGGTCCAAACTTGTTTGTAATGTCTGACATCAATAAGAAATTTCAAGAGGAAAGGTGAAAGAGGGCAGTCCTGTCTTACACCACTGGATGTGGTGAACTCGTACGCGCTCATAGGAGTTTGCATAAGTGCCTTCATAATGAATATAGATTTCGAAAGGACACGTCTGATCTCCAGACACCGTCAAGGTTTCTAACGGTGGACGGAGTCAAAAGCATATTTCAGAGCAAGAAAAAACCAACGTGGGGTGTTTTAAGCAGTGGCGCCGTTCAGGTAAAGATATGGTCGATGCATTCTCGGCCAGGGCAAAAACCCAGCTTGATCTTTACGAACGTGTCTCCCTATAGTCGATCAACGTACGCGAAAAGATGGCCAGAGAGCACCTTGGATGCGACGTATACCAGACTGGTATCACGATGGTTTTCACATGACTTTCTTGCGTCCTTTTTGAAAACTTGGATTACGGTCGACGAGCTTCATTCGGCTCGTCGTTTTCGAACCAGATCTTTTGCAATATGGATGTCAACTGTTCACCGGGACCTCACCACCTTCTTTGATGGTGGGCTAGTGTTGATGTATCATCCAGGCCCACTGGGTTTTTCCAGCGATTGTGTTGAAAGAGACTAGCTTAAACATCTTTTGAAGTGTTCAGCGAAAAGCTCAAGACGACGATTGAGGGGGTGAAT